CACAAACATACATACACAAAATGCACACACACAAACACACACATACACACAGACACATACATAGATGCACATATACATACTGATAGACACACATACATACATACAAAAACACACACACTCACTCACAAACACACATCCACTCAAAACACACACAGAAGCACATACATACACAAACACAGGGGGGGGGGTGGGAGAAGGATCTGAAATAGATGAATGCTATAGGTTCTCCTACTGTTACCAAAGCAGGTTGCTCTCTAGGTGAGGCAGCCATGGGCCGTGGCACCCTTACTGCTGCTGCAACATCAGGGGTTAAGCAGGAGAACGGATTTGACAATGAGGAGCAAAGGAAAGCCCAGGCCTTATTCACTCTGCTGGGCAGGACTCTTAGCTCTGTAGTCCACTCTGGGATGGTGAAATGACAGTGGACTCCAGAGGGTGAAGCTGTCCTCCTCAGAGTGGAATGCAGGCAGAGTTTTACACACTGAGCCTTTTCTTCAGTGCCGACACAGGGGTGCCCTCTGTGTGTACTGCAGCAAGAAGTCAACAGAGAAGCAAAGCACTGTGAATGGCATGCTACAAACTGTCTAATATTATTCTGCATTCAGCATAGAAGCTGCTGTGTGTGTGTCCGTTTTTCTAATAGTATCATAGGAACCCAATAGGTTCTTTGAATATCTAACATAATAGGTAAAAATAAACAAAGTACAAATTTACAAAGTGTTTGAGAATTGTAAGGACATTAAAATGATGTAATACTTATTCAAGATAATTTATGGACTATCCTCAAAGGCCAGTGAAAGTCTCTAATAGTAAGCCATAACTTACTGCCTCCTTCAACATTTTCATTTTGCCTCTAAGCATGGGAAACACTTTCTCTGAGTGGGTGTGTCTGTAAAGATGGGCTTCTCCTTCCCTTCTCCAGTTCCAATCTGGCCGGAGGATATGCCAATCTGTCAGCCTTCTTATCAGGCTCCCAGGCTGCTTCATAAAGGTTAAACTCCATGAAAATGTGGCTAAGAGAGTGGGAGTTTTCCCTCTTCACTGCCATTCCCAGGATAGAGACTGCACTGGCCTTGGTAGGGAGTGCTGCACCCCCAATTCTCCTCACCCTCCCTCTCTAGACAGATACAACTTCCAGTTAAAAGAGGGAAACCAATGTCTCCAAAGGTTATTGCACCCCCAGAGTCCTGTTCATAAACCCAGAGACACGGCGGCTGTCCCACGGCTGACTGTGAGACAATGGCTTATTGACTTCACTGAGGTGGAGAGTTTGACCATGAAAAAATAAAATTTCAAAGCATTAATACTTCAAATGCTTGAGTTTATTTGGAATAGAGAGCAGGGGAATTCAGGATGATGATATACTCCTTTTAAAAAATGGAAGCTTCAGTGATAGACAGGGTAGAAGGCGACAGCGGCTCCACAAAATTGCAGGTTAAACTGCAGGCAGGAGCCATTTTTACACAGAGAACTAGGGACATGCACAGCTAAGAAGAGCCCTCTTGGGGCAAACCTCAAAGGCTGGCTTCAAAAATATACCCCCAAAGTCATGATTTCTATTGAGTCAGGTTACCGGGCAGCTTGCACCTTGTGGGGATATCTCAATAAAATCCCTGCCTGGTAAGTACGGAGACTAGCAACTGAGAGTGATGCATACTGAGGCCAGTAGCTCCTCAGAGTGGCTGGGAAAGGTGACAAACAGGAGAGCCCTTCTGTAACTATTGTCATCCCAATGCAGCTGTAAAGGTAGACATGAAGAGTGGTAGAGCTTTGTGTTCTGTGGCCAGAAGTCTTATGGAAGTAGCTCAGGGAAGCCAATAAAGCAAGCAAACACACAGACACACAAGACACACAGGCACACACGGACAGACACACACACACAGACATACACACAAAAACAGACATATACACATAAAGATGCACACACCGACACACACAGATAAACATGCCAAACTCTGGGTCAGGGTATACTTTTCATGCAGAGGAGCGACAATTTGTTATTATTATTTTAAATGTTCAATTAGTAAAAAGAACTTGAGCTACATAAAGACATTTAGGAAAACATAATCTATGCAAACAGTAAAAAAGAGTTGACAAAAAACAAAACAAAACAAAACAAAACAAAACAAAAAACAAGTCCATGGGAATGACCCGGATGTTGAACTTAGCAAAGACTTAATGCATCCTAGGAGAAAAACAAAGCTCTTTAGGATGAAAGCAAGTGACTTTAGACAATAGTTTAAAACCAACTTAAAACAACAACAACCAAACAACAACCCAGAAAGCAAAGGCAAATGTCACTATAAAATTATGAACATATATACATATTACAAATATGTCAAAAGAAGACCTGCTGGAAGAAATAAAAAACACATGATAGCAGTGTTTGACCAAAAAGACTCATGAGAGAAATGGGGAGTAAGACGGTGGAACAGTGGGGCATGCTGACTTATCCCTGCAACTCAGCAGCTGGGAGACTGAGGCAGAAGGGCCATGAATTCAATGCTGCGGCTGGTAACGGTGGGAGACTTTCAGTAAGGAGTATGATAACTGAGATAGGTAGAAAGTTGGCATGAAGAATCAAGTGGAGTATTTAAACTCAAAGTAAAAAAGTCAGGAAATAATAAGATTTAAAAAACCAAAGCCTTAAATCCAGAGAAAAAGCAAAATAAAGGGAAATGATCAGGACCTGTAGGAAAAAAAAATGTGAGATACCACTTAAAACAGAAACATTTACTTAGTCTGAGAGAAGGAAAAAAAAGGAAGAAGAAAAATAATAGTAAAATGTTATAAGACTACTGACTTTGCAGCCAGTCCTGAAGATGCCTGATAAAACAAGGTCAGATGAAAGAGGAGGAGGACCTCCCCTATCAGGGGACTTGGAAAGGGGCATTGAGGAGATGAGGGAGGGAGGGTGGGATTGGGAGGGAATGAGGGAGCAGGATACAGCTGGGATACAGAGTTAATAAAATATAACTAATAATAAAAATTAAAAAAAGACCCCCCCCAAATTTAAAATGAAACAAATATCTGTGCCTGAGATATTTTTTCTTGTTTTATATATTATATGAAAAATACTTATAATTTTTTTTTTAAAACTAGGGGGTTGAATCCCTCTTTGTATAACCTGTGATAGAAAAGTAATTGGCTTCTGGAGCTCAGCATGCATCCCCATACTGTTGAAATTTTATGTGCTTTCTTCTTGCTTTGTGATAAGTGAGTTAGGAATGGACTTCTACAATTACATTTAATGCTGAGCACCTACTGTAAGCAATCCACACACTTGGAAAGTAGTCAGCAACTTTGCTACCTTCATTGTATATACTGTCTCCTGGCTGTCCCCCATCTCTCTCCCTGTGTGTGTGTTTAATGTGTACATGTTTTTAATGAAAATAAAAAAAGAATATTGACAGAGAATCCCCCAATTTTGATGTACATTGATTATGTATTTAGATGCTCATTTCTATCTAAATAAGAAGTAAAGCAAACTGATCCATTAACACAAAAGTGATAGTAAAAATTTGGGTGATAAAAATGAAGAGTAAGAAAAAGTAACTTATCACATCCTAGTCACCACAGGGAGGTGGATAGCCTTCCTTCAGCAGGCATGATGGCGACATAGGTCAAGGCAACATATTCCAAATCTAGTAAGATGGGGAATTGTGGATTGGAAAAATGATTGAAAAGCGAACATAAAATAGTGATATTACAAGAGAATTAATAACTGGAAGAATTTATGAATAAAATGAATATAAAATAAGGGTATTGCAAGAGAAGTAATAACTGGGAGAATTCATGAATTGTTGGCATGATGTTCTTTCGCACTGTGTAGTTTAAAGATTATCCCTGGATTACTCAAATGCTGATTTCTCTGTCTCCTCCCTATATTTGGTTCCAATCTGGACACGGCCTTGTAATGCTTATTCGAAGACTCTTCTGCTTCAATTTGTGTAAACGTTGCTCCTCATTTTTTTTTTTGATTTGTCGATAAAATCTGATCATCCAGTGACTGAGAAGAGGGAGAATATGGTTGGACTTCTGATTATAGTAAGGGGAAGAGAGAGAGAGAAACAGACAATAGAAATTTTAGCCATGAGGTGAGGGTCCAGGAGCCATCACAAGATGTGTGGAGCAGAGAGAGCGAGGTCAACACTAAATACAAGTATCTCAGGGATTTTGGCAGGGAAGTAGCCAGATTATTTTA